TAAAATTGATTGAAATACAAGATAAAACCAAATTATCATCTGCATAAGAAGAAGAAGTTTGGAAACACCAAACAGTTCATATCTAGCAATGTTTTACATTTTCAAAATTAGTTTTTGTCAGCTAATTTTACCAGAAATATTTCACTTTCCACAATGACAAGCTTCTTTCCTGATAACTAAGCTACCAGGTGCTTTTACGGCATCAAACAGCCTCAGACCAATTGTTCTGTAGTTCTGATGTGCTACAGCGTGATTGACAGATGTGTACATAATCAATAAATAATATGGATTTTGTCTTAGGGAAGCCCCTATGCTGATGGTTTAATGAATAATGCAGCGACAGATGCAGAAATAATGCCTTGGGTTGTGAGTTCAGGATTCTCTTTGATACCTTCACCCCTGTTTCTTTTTTCTGCCTGGAGAAAAAGAGACACTTGTCATGTCAGATCAGAGGCCCAATGGAGATAGTTGGCCAAACATAAGGGATCTGGGATGAGGAGAGCGGAAGATGGAAGGAAAAGAGACAGGGAAGTTGAAAACGGATGGAGGCAGGGAGGAACGTAGAAGAAAAACATCTACAGCGACATGGATATGGGGAACCGTAGATGGTTGAAAGACACGCTACAGGCAGACTGGCGCAGAGATTTGAGGTGTGATCAGTCCTGCTAAGTGACAGAAAGAGAAGGGGGGTTTGGAATAAGTCAGACAGGGGGACTGTGGGAAAAGTAGTGAAAGAATAGGAATGGTAATAAAGAGCGTTTATCAGTTCTTTAGGTGCCGTCTGCTTATCAAACACCACCAAATACCCAACCTATTAACTATTAATACACTCCCTCACTATCATCCCTTTCCTCTTTCATTTTTCTTCATCTCTCTCTTCCTTTGTCCCTCAGGGTGAGTCTGTCTCTCCCTTTCCCCACCACTTACCCCATTTTTGTCTTTCTCTCTCGTTATCAAACACCCCAAAAGCAACTATGATTAACTATTTAATGTCCTTGTCATTATCTGTCTGGGCACATAGCAATTTTCCATTCACTTGCACATTTTCTCACATAAAGTCAGGTTTGACACCCAGAGATTTTTTTTCTCAGTCGTCTTTTTTTTTCCATCACTCTTTCTTCTTCCGTCCCTCTAAGTCTGATATCTGCAGAGCTTATTAAACGGAGGAGCATGTGTTGTAAAAGATTAATCTGTTGGTTTCCCATGCAAACTTAAATCAGTCCCGCTCACCCTCAACTAAGAGGCATTGCTAATGCCCGCCGTCCGCTGAGAGAGTTAGATGTTCGTATCGGGTTTAAGGCCTGGGGCCCAATCAAATGTCACATTTTCCCTCCCTTTGCTTCTTTTCTCCTCATCTGTACTTGTGCTTCAGCTCCTCACCCCTCAGTCTCAGATTTTTCACTCTGCCTTCTTTCTTCAATCAGCAGCTGCTTGCCTTATTTGCCCCTCCTTTCCTTTTGTTTTTCTTCTCTTCCTTCCTCTGGCGTCCTCAGTTTTATTCTCCACGGACACAATGAAAAACAGGTCACAAGCGAGAAAAACTTAATGGAGTTTTATGCTGAAAATTAACTTGTTGAACTTAGTTTCGGATATTGTGAAATTATACATATTTTTTGCTTTTCTGATTTACATTTGTAGAAAGTCTCCACTTAGATCTTCCACAATTTTGGATCCTCTTTTTTTTATGTCTCTTCCAAACACCTCTACCTACCGGTTGTATATTTATAGGAAATAGGTCATAGTAGAAGGCTGAGTTTGCATCTGAGGAACCATTTCCATGCTGACTTTTGCTGAAAGAACTGTTTCCAGTTTTCTGGTAGTCCTGCTGTTTTAAAGGAGAGTCAAATCCTCAGCATCACAGATCATCTGCTATGAAGAATACATAAAATGCAAACCTATCTGTTGTTTTTGTATAGAGAGAACTTTACCCAAATTTGACTTAATAATACAGAATAATTTTAGGATTGCAATTTAAACCAGTTTTAATAAAAAGGACATTTCCCCCACATTAAAACATAACCAAAAGCACATAAATGACATAAAGTGGTGCAAGAGAGGGCTTGGGAGCTGGTTTTAAATGTGATGATGTTTTCTTTAGCAATTTTATTTTATTTTTTTGCTTTTTATATATAAATTATCTCTGATCTATCTTAGCCTTCATGCCTCTTTTCTCTCTTTAATTTTATTTACTCCTATAGCTATATGTTTTTTCTTTATCCAATATTCACAGTTTTTTAACTAAAAGCAAATCCTTCTATTTTCAGTAAATGTTACTGTAGCTTTAGAACCAGGCAATTTGTTTATAGCTTTTTTTCTGGGGTAAAAAAAAAATCTCCTCTAGTATAAAAGCTTAAACACATTCTTGTGTTTAAACTTAAATCTTTGCTTAAATCTTATACTTGTTTAATTGCAGTAGTCCACATTGCCATCTTTGTAAGATGTTGTATGCTTTGATAGATTTTGAAACATTAAACAGGTCAGATCCAGCAATGTTTTAGATTTTCAGAATTTATTTTAATCAGCTAATAATAGTATTTCACTCTGAATAATATATATTTTTTTGTTTTGTTTTTTCCCTCATATTAAAACCCCTCAATCCACCTTAAGCTACCATGTGCCTTAAAGGCATCCAACAGCCTCTGAGCAATTCTTCTGTTGTTCCCAAAAAAGCGCATTAAAGCGGCAGAAGTGGCTGCTGTGCTACAAAAATATGCAGCATTGGCACATGTATGACCAATCAATTAATTGTTTGGATTTTTGCAAAAGGAACCCAACTAAAAAAAGGAATGACTGCATGGTTACACGGGATGCTGGCTCATGTATGATCGCATAAAGTAGTGCAGGAAACAGTTTATGACCTGATTTCAAATGCAAAGTTCTTTTTTGTGTGTTTTCTTTAATAACTTTTCTTTGTTTATTTGCTTTTTTTCTTGCTTTTTAACGTAAACTATGTGCTACTTATCTTTATAGTCTTGCTTCCTTTTCTGAGCCTTACCCTTTGTGACCCCTTTTTTCTCATTTTATCTGTTTATTCCTTCATTTGTTTTTTTTAAATCTTTTTTCTTTGCTTGGTCTGACTCATCCTCTTCCACCTTCTTTTCTCTTACTCATTTCCACTTCCTTTCTTGTGTTTACCGAGCACGTTTTCCTGTTTCTTGTACTCCCATCTCTTCTCGCGCTTTGTGACGAGATCGTTTCTACTGGAGTCTGGCTGAGTTTGTTCCTTTCAAGTTTCCTTGACTGAGCTGAATCTTTCCCTCTGCTTGTTTTCTAATGTTTTCCTCTTGCTGTTGCTCCACTTGTTTCAAGGCCTAGTTCTTAGTTTTGGTTTTCTAATGATCTCATTTTTAATTCTCTGTGGTGCTAAAATCGTCAACATAATTGCAGTCTTCGTGTGTTTTTTGGTGCTCTGTACTCTGTATATCTTCAAATACCACGAGTCCTTACATACGTTTTCAATCAGTTGAACTTCCTCAGATGCCCCAAATACATTATTAACATTTATTTCCTGTTTTAGATGTTAACTTTAGTTACTTGAACATATTCCTAATCTATATTCTATAAATTATATAGGACATTCTTGTTATGACCTTAAAAGCCCTCTAGAAAATAAATCCATTAACATTGTTTTCTTTATTTCCTTTTCGCTCTGTATAGTAATAGTGATCCTGTTTGTGATGAGGAAACACTATCAGAAGGATTCTCTCGCCAGTTTGAAGAACATCGGTGAAATCCATGAGCAGCTGGTCACATATGATGAGGAAGGAGGGGGAGAGATGGACACCAATGGGTATGTACAAAAAAAAAAAACACATTTGATCTAAATTGATTTATGAGAGGACAAAATATAATTTTTTTTAGTCTGGTAAATGAAAAATCTACATTCTCCTATCTTTATTTTCTTTCTATGTGATTCCTTTAAAAAATTGGGGGGAAAAAATTAATCAGCACAACAAAGAAATAAGCTTCATCACAATTATTATTTTCAGTGAGTTAAAATATGATTTAAGTGGTGGTATCAGAACAGCAAAAGTGGCTATGAAAATTGATCTAAATAAAAAAAAAAAAAATCTAGGTTTGATTTATATTGACTCCAGTAAGATATTTATTGCAATATCCGAGCCTAGCATGCAAGACTTGTTAAGATGGCATCAATCAGGAAAGCAGCAGGTTATCAAAGACCAGAGCAACAGGGTCCGCACAACCAATCAGTTAAACATGGATGTGATGCAAAAAAGTGTTTTTCTAAAAAGAGAAACAGTTAGAGTGGCCTCATGCAAATCTCATGTAAGACATGATTACAGGCACCATTGAAATATCGCTCCTTTTGGGATGCCATCTGGATTGTTATGGTTAAAAATATTATTATTGTTAATTGCGGCCCAAAAGTGAAGTGTTGTAAACTGTGAGTGGTCTAAAAAATTAAGGTGAGGAAATGCAGCTATTTCAAACAGGTTTAAATCCTCATCTTGTCATTCAGGAGGCACTCATTTCTTTTCAAGAGTTTTTTTTTTTTTAACCATCTGTTAAACGTGGTGCTATTCATCATAAGATGTCTATTTTTATGTTTATGATTGGGAAAATTTGCAAGAAGGAGCTGTTTCTGGTCCAGCATGTTTTTTATGCTCGGAGTTGTCTGCATATTTACAAATATTCCTTGCTGTAATGTAGAAAAACTGGCTGGGTGGACCTAAAGAAGCGTCAAGAATTAAACCAGGCTTTAGTCAGTCTGGCTTACAAGTCTACCAGCAGCAAGCCTTCAACCCAAAGATAGAAGCACTAAGATAGTCATAGGCCAAATATGACAGAATTAGACAAATTAATGTGAAAATACAGATATCTCCACAATAATATAAACATAACAATCCTACTGGCATAATTTATACAGTTTATCTGCAGAAATCCCCCCAAAGAACCTTTGATTTAGGGTTCAGCTACTCTTTAAGCTCATTTAATGTTTTCTTTTGTTTGTGTTTTCAGCTACGATGTCTCAATTCTCACTTCGGCGTGTAACGATGGATCCCTTCTCCGCCATCCTGACCGCTTCTCACACCCTTCCATGTATGCCATGGTCCAGAAACCGCCTCACCACTCTCAGCCCACCGCATGCAAAGGCGACATGGCGGCAATGATTGAGATGAAAAAAGACGAAGCTGACCACGACAGAGACGGATTCCCATACGACACTCTCCACATCTATGGCTACGAGGGACCTGAATCTTTAGCGGGAAGCCTTAGTTCTCTGGAAAGCTCCTCTTCTGGTTCAAACTTGGATTACGACTTTCTCAATGATTGGGGGCCGAGGTTCAAGGCCCTGGCCGAGCTGTATGGCGTGGATGGTGCTGACTACTACCATCAATACTGAGAATAAATGCAGAGTTCCCTGATGTGCATCTGAAAAGTGTACATCTTGTACATTGGTAATCAAAAAGAGCCATAAAAAAAGAAACAACAAACATGCAGGAAACATGCACATTTAACCTACAGTACACAGATAGCCCAACTGTCCACAAGAGACTCTTCAAAACACAGCTGGGGATCCTTTTCGAGAAAGGTTACCTTTAGTTATCATGTGTATATCAGTGGATGCATTTGTGTTTTGTGTCTCTTATCTATTCACTCTAATCACTAAACAAGTCATCAATGTCCAGGAGCCTCCTGTGAGCTGAATGAAGTTGTCATCAGCATATATAGATGTTTTTCAGATTTTGGTTCTTCGTAATCCAACATTGGAACAACTCACAGACATAATATTAAAAGTACAGCACAGACTGGTTAAAAGCTGCAAAGTTAACCCTTCTACTTCACCTGCAAATAGCTAACAGATAAAAAGCAGATGAATGTAGCCAACCAGAAGGTAGCATGTTAGGAGAAAAATAATTTTACCGATATGTTTAACTAATTCTTTTTTTATATATATATAACACTTGAGCATAGAAAACAAATAAAACGTCAAACTTTTTTATTGAAACGTTCCTGGTTTGCTCCTCTGATATTAGATAGTAGATCTTGCTCAGTTAGCAAGGCTGTGGTTAGATCCCTTTAAGGATGAATTTACTGACATGACGTCTGGTAAAAGGTTAAATACAGTAAATTTAACCTCCATCAGGAAACTGTCTTGTAATCTTCAATAAGTATAAATTAATTTTATGGAGTTGAAGGTGAAAGCTAACGGCTATTCCAAGAGGGGTGCAGAACCAAAGAAAGCTACGTACCCTTCTAAAGAAACTCAAATATAAAACAAAGACATGTGCATGATGAAATGAACCTTTAAAACTTTTAATCATTTGGACTAAAGCCAACATGAAAATGTGTGCTACAGTAGAAATAGACTTCGTACAAGAAATTTACTTTAAAAAAGGGTACATGTAAACTTTTACTGTACAGAGTATAGCAAAATGACTGCAGTAATGGATATGGTCAGTGTTTTGGGGGGTTTTGTGCACTGCTTTACTACCTAGCCTGCAGTCTGCTGCTTGCAGCTTTTAGCTTGACAATCATGATTTGTAAAACACCATAACTTTGTCAGGTGGGGTTTGTGGCTAACGTACTTTATTCCCCAAAGAGTAAAAGAAAGCTCTGGTCAAAATGCAACTTTTCATTTAATTATCAGATTTTGGGCAGCATGAAGGTTATAGAAATGTTTAGGGGTTTAAAAATCTTTAATTTTGCTTGATTTACCTTAAAACCAGAAACCAGTCCATGCCAAATTCAATTCAATTTATTTATGCAGCGCCAATCCACAACACATGTCACCTCATGGCACTTTATAGTTCACCAGATCAGCCAGTCAAATTGATTCAAAGTTTTCTATCTAAGGAAAACCAGCTGATTGCATTGACTCCAAGGCAGTCACTCACACTAAGCATGCTTGTAGCGACAGGGGAGAGGAAAAACCTCCAGCAGAACCAGGCTCAGTTTGAGCGGCCATCTGCTGAGGCCAACTGGGGTTCAAGGAGACAGACATACTCAAAGCAACTGTAAAAGGTGGCCCCGTCCAGGAAACTAACAGCCAGGCAGACGAGCTCCGAGCCAGCTCCCATATCAGAGGATGAAGAGAGCACATCCAGCCAGTCACAGTCAGAGAAACAGGACTACACTGAAAAACAAGCCAATCTCCAACATCTCTAAACAGAGGTGTTGATGGCAGTAGCAGAGCTGATATTTCTCTCCAGGATGGAGTCACAGCCAAACAGGAACAGACGAGGTGAAGCTACTATGAGAAAAAGCAGAGAGAGCAGAACAAAACGGACAAATCAGAATTGATCCTGAATAGCTTATTCATAAATGCAGTCAATGACGGTCGGAGCCATTTCTCAGTTAGTCATATTCTTTTGGGTTTATTTATGTGTCTCTCCAGTATGATCACATACTATTTAACTCATGGAATTTCCATCTTTTTATATCGATGTCACAGCAATTTAAGTTTTCCTACATGTCCAGTTGATCTAATAGAGGATTTCTAATATTGGTTTCATTCCTAATTGGGATGCAAAACACTCCATGTGAGAGCAGCTCCTTTCTGAAGTTTGTTATTTCCAAGTAAGATTGCTCAAAGATTTTAATGTACTAAAAAACTTCACATGAGTTGGATCTCTGAGGATTTGGAGGTGTTTGATCACAGCAAGATGCCGGCTTGGTTTTCTTTATCTGAAACATTATTAACAACCGTCTTTGGGGAAAGTTCAGCTCTGAGCTTCCACCGTTATGTTCACTGGGTTTTACTGTGATATGTGATATTTTTATGTAGCAAATATTCTTTTTATCCTTCTTTCTTTAACATTATCAGCAATCTGACAAATTGCTGTTAATTGTTCAGATAGTGTTTAAAATTTCCAAATATTCAGCACTGATTTTTGGTTAAAACTTGAAAAGAACCCCTTTTCTGTCCCTCAGCAGCCATAAACGGTTGTGACCAAGGTGCCATACATTTCGCGAATCATTATGTTCATACGCCTAGATTTCCTCTGCTCTGAGAGAGGACAAAAAACAGATAATAGAGAGAAAGAGAGGAAACGGCTTTACCGCTGCTCTGACAGAATTACAGCTTGTTCCCAGCTTTTATTTGACAGAACTCATCACCACAGTTATTGTTGTGATGAAAGCTGAATCCTTAGAGGCAGAGTCAGACAGAAGTAATTCACTCAGATCAGGAAGCACAGAGCTGCAGAGGCAGCTTGTTGGGCTGCTGTGATGTGTCTGATGTGGCTTCAATAACTTTAACCTCTTGTCCTGTTTTGGCTTCTGTCTGGTATTACAACCACTGCCCAAGATCAAACCTTTTTTTTTTGGACTGATTTCTAATCTAACTGTTCCTGTAGGTTCCTCTGCAGGAACAGCATTCAAACGTTTTTGATCATTTATATTATGACAACTGTATTAAAGAGTAGCCACCGTAAAACAGGGTTTGGATTTTTTAAAACAAAATGATGTCCCGTTAGTAAGGTTTTAGATTAGTCTGCCTTCACAAAAACAGAATAAATGTAGCATGTTTCATGAAAGAGGGCCTAAATATTTTTCGCTGCACTCTGTTTAGCCTTCCTGTTATCCGCTGAAAGGCTCTCTCCTGCCCCATCAAAAACCATTGAACCACAAATGCAGGAACTGAAAGGTTAGATTATTAAGGACATTCATATAGAAGAAGGAAGGTTTCAGTGTAACCTGGTAGCTCTCATGTATACGTCTTCATAAAAAAACATAAAACATCAGGTTATTTGCACACAGGCTGGTCAAATAAATGTTTTGTTTTGGGGGTTTTCTTGTACAAAGGATAGAAAGTGCAGTTTTAGAAATCCTGAATGGTTCCTCTCTTTTTTTGTTCTTTCTCCACATTTAAACATGTTAGGGCATTTTTATTCCTTGTTTCATTTTAAAAAGCAACAATCTTGGAAGATTGGAAGCCATCAACACACTTCCTCTAAATTCCTTTTGATCTGTAGTCATTGCTTCTTGTTTTTCAAAAATGGCAGATATGCATTTGAATAGAAATATGTTTCAAACGTCCGTTGTTTCACTGAATAAATCAACATGCCTCCATAATGTCCACACACGTACCATCTGACACGTAATTGGTGGAAAATAGGACCAAAGCAGCTGGATCTTTGCACTTTCTGAATCAGGAAACGTTCTGTTCGAAAACATTCAAACTCTGAGCTGTGAAATAGTAAAATCCTCACTTAAGAAGAAGCTTAACCTACCAGTTATAATTTATATAGACAAAAAAACTGTTTGCACATCAAACTTCATAGATTATGTTTATATGTTTAAAGGTGAAAGATTGGTGGCAGAAAAAACAACATTCCTCTACAATGTCTCTTGTTGGGGGAATATTCCTCTGCAGATATATGGGCTCATGGGCAACTTTTTAAGTAATCAGGAGTAACTGCTGCCCTTGGACCTCCTGACCCTTGACCTCTGCCTGTGGAGCACCTGGCTCAGAGCAATCTTTTACTAATTACGATTGAAACGATAACTGCAGACCTTTTGACTGGCTGGGTAATGGCATGCTCATAAATAATGGTCTGTGTAGTTAAAAACTCATTCATAACCAGCCATAAAGGGAAAAGGTCACTAATTGTGTGTAATGACGCCATCATTTCGAGTTGTTGGACTGAAAACCCGCTTTGTGAGTCACAGAGGCAGTTTCTTTGCTTTTAAGTGTGTTTTCATTTCAGTATTATTTTTATGTATTATAGTTTATTTGCTCTGCTGTTTATTCTGTTTTGCTTTGACTTTAAGTGTGTTTCCTTAAAAGCCTCGTCTGCTTGGAATGTCGCAGGATAAATGGTGGAAACAATTGCTGGAAGGACTTTCGGTGCTTACACCACTTATATTTACACACAATCAGAGCAGCCGGTTCCTCCTCCTCACTCGGTGTCCGTCTTTCCTCGTCTGCCCCGCCGTATCTCCTGCCCGCTGCCTCTCTCTCTTTGTCCTTTAATCAGCTAAACAGTGGAACTAACTTCCTGTCCATCTGGGGGTTTGCCCCGCCCCTTCCTGTCTGTGTTATCTCTCTCATGAGCCAACACATTGTCTTCGCTTCCCGTCAGAGGAGCCTGGGAAGGGGTCTTGGAGGGGAAAAGGGAGCGATGCGAGGAGAAACACGGAATGAAGGCTGATGGGTAGGGGGGGTTAACACAGGATAAGGAGGAAAGGAACAACATAGACCTGAAAGGATTTCCCCTGCTGTGCAGACACACTTCAATATAAAGGAATATGTGTAATATTGAGACAAAATGCTCAAAGATGTGAGGAAAATCTACGACTTCTTCTTTGCGAAGCTCTACATTTCTTCTCAGAAATATAAAATGCCCCAAAATGAATCTTACAGTGTAAGAACTTTTTTTTATTACATGAGACAAAGTATCCAAGACGAAAGATGAAAATTTTAGACCAGTTCATATTATAATGTTGCATGTATTTCTTTTTAGAAAAACCCTAAAAGTAATCTGAGGAGCAAAGATACGATGCTAAAAAATTACTGAACCGAAGCTTTAAAATTCCTCATTGATGCAGAGGATCGAACTATTTCCCCCCATGTTAATCTGAAATATTTTAGTATTTAAGTCTTATAATATGAAAAAAACAATCTGTGTCGTCATAGTGTAACTTCACTTGTTTTGAAACTATGTATGTATGTCTGAAAAATAGCAACCCACCAGTCATCTGACAGGTTTCCTATTATATTTTATTCAATCATGAAATAATTACTGCACAGCTTTAAAGCAGAAAATGTAAAGATGGATAATTTATGAGCCGTTTCTGCCTGTTCTTGTCTGTTGTTTTTAAAAAGTGGGATTTTTTGTTTTGGTTTCATCTACATGTGGTCGGTTCAAGCAGTGTTGCTGTTTAAAAACCTCGTTTTTAAACAAAGATTTGTAAAGAAGTTGTAATAAATGATAAATATTCTTATTTTTATGTGGGAAATTTCAGGACTTTTAAAAGGTTGTGGCATTGCAAATTTAAAAAGCAAATAATATCCTACTAACATAGCTATTAGTATAAATCTAAATTAGGCTGTTTAAAAGGATGAACAAACAGCCAATCATTCTGGCTTCTAAGGTCCTGAAACAACTAAAGATTTGAAAATGCTATAAGAGTTTATGGGGAAGCATTTATGGAACTTTAAAAAGGCTGAATAAGCAATGATTGAAACAGCAAGTGGCAGGAGGAGGAATCAAGCAATCAATGATATTATGAAAGAAATCTATTATCAGTAGTTTACTTGAACTGCTATAACAGTTTCTGTTCTGTACATCACTTTACCTTTACATCCGTCACTTCTGTCTTCTGTTTAAGTTTCTGTTTTACTCTGGTTTTATATTAAATGAAGTTAAGAGTTATGCATTACGACCATTTAATAGAACATCTCCTTAAAAAATCTGGATCTAGCATTGGAAACAACTAAAATTACAATATGTTTGGAATATTTCTCTTTCTGTAGCAGCATTTCTTGGTCTAACAGTTAAAACAAATGTCTCAGGGTGGGATCGGGACAAACAATTTTTTTTTACATCCATGACGGAAAATGATTTAAAAAAGACTCTTGAATTTATTACACTGGTCTAAACTTTAAGTATTTTTTTTATTTTTTATCATTGTGTGTTGTTCAAGGGGTTATACTTTAACAAAATCTATGTAAAAAGGTGCCTCACCGTTCTTTTTTTGTTTGTTTTTTTAAATTTTTTTATGGAAAAAAAAGCAAAAAATAAAAAAATATGTTTCTTTAACCATCTTTTGACGCATGACGGGATGAATGGGTGGATACCCGATTATTAGTTTTGGTCTCCCTATTTTAGTGCTTGGATTGTATCCATGTACATAAAAAAAAAG